GAACTGGATGGGAGCCGGGAGGTAGGGCGAGGGGCTGTCTCTTCCCAGTCCTGTTCCCCGTCTCTCACCTCCACCTTTCCCTGCCCCACTCCGCGTCCCCCTCTTCCCCCACCCCACCATCCCTCTTAGCCCTCTCTCTCGCCCTGTCACTGGTCTCCTCCCGGGGGCCGGTCTTTGCCCTCCGTCAGTCTATCCGCCTGAGCCGGGTTCGCTTGCCCACTCCTCACCCCTACCCCAGGTGTTCTACCAGCGCGCAGACATGGCCATCGGCTCCCTCACCATCAACGAGGAGCGCTCAGAGATCGTGGACTTCTCCGTCCCCTTCGTGGAGACGGGCATCAGCGTCATGGTGGCGCGCAGCAATGGCACCGTGTCGCCCTCGGCCTTCCTCGGTGAGCTGGTGTCCAAGGACAGGGAGCCAGACCTGGGCAAAGCTGGAGCAGCTGGCCCCAGCCGTGTGGATCCTGGGGCGGATGGGGAAGCAGAAAATCTGAGTTCCCATCCCGGTATCCTCTGTGCTGGCCTTGGGACTCCGGTGAAGTGACATCACTTTTGAACCTCAGTTTCCTAACTTGCAAGATGGAAGAAGTAATGTCCCCTACCAGAAGGCATTTTACAAGGAAGTTAAAGTCATCGGGAGCTCAAGTGTCTTTTTTTGCACCACCCTTCCAAGGCCCTGCACCTGGTTTCGTATTCATAATGTTGTATTTTCTTTTCTTTTTTTGAGTTGGAGTCTCACTCTGCCACCCAGGCTGGAGTGCAGTGGCATGCTCACAGCCACCCCAGCATCGACCTACTGGGCTCAGGTGATCCTTCTGCCTCAGCCTTCCAAGTAGCCGGAACTACAGGCATTTGCTAGCATGCCTGGCTAATTTTTTTTTATTGTAGAGATGAGGTCTCTCTAAGTTGTCCGGGCTGGTCTCGAACCCGTGGGCTCAGACAATCCACTCACCTCCACCTCCCAAGGTGCTGGGATTACAGGCTGAACCACCAAGCCCATATTCTTTTTTCTTAAAGAGAACCCTCCAAATTGTGTAAGCTTCTGGCCTCACAAAACCCAGAGAACAGTTCAGAGTGGGACTAGTGCTGGCACATCGTAAGTACTCAAGTCACCCATCAGTGTTTCTTGAGCACCTATTACGTGCCAGGTGCTGGATTCCACTCTGGGAACACAGTGGTGAATGAGGCAGACGCAACTCCCTGCCCTCTAGAGGCCCTCAGCCTCATGGGATAGACAGAAAATAAACTCAGAGGGGACACATGTCAGATGGTGATAAATACCATGAGAAATTAAGCCAGATTAAAGAGATGGAGCAGACCAGTCATGGTGACTTACTCCTGTAATCCCAGCACTTTGGAAGGCCAAGGCAGGAGGATTGCCTGAGCCCAGGAATTCAAGAGCAGCATGAGCAACATAGGGAGACTTCATCTCTACAAAATCAGCTGGGTATGGTGGCATGTGCCTGTAGTCCCAGCTACGCAGGAGGTCAAGGCTGCAATGAGCCATCATCCTGCCACTGTATCTAGCCTGGGCATGGGTGAGAGAGAGAGAGAGAGAGACAGGCAGACAGAGAGAGACAGGAATAGAGCTGGCTGACAAGAGAGGCCCCTGTGAGTAGGTGACCCAGACCTGCATAGATCTGACTGGAAAAGCATTCCAGGCAGAGGGAACAGCAAGGGCAAAAGTCCCAAGGTGTGAATGTGCATGGAGTGTTTTTGAACCAGCTGAAGACTGTGGGAGGTGAGGGCTGAAAGAGAACAAAGCAGATCTTGCGTGACCTTGGCCATGATGGAAGGAAGTTTGGGTTTTACCTTTACAGCAACGGCAAGGTTTTTAACGACAGAAGGTGGTGTGGGGACAGATGATCAGACTTAGGCTTTTAAAATATCCCACTAGTGGCTCCGTGAAAGCAAGAGGCTGGCAAGGAGGCTACTGAAGGGGTCCATGCCAGAGGAAGAATGGGGATGTCAATTAGAAAGTGGCAGAGGGCATGAGACAAGTACATAGACTCGGGGTGTGAATAGGAAGCTGCCACCAGATGGGCTGATGACTTTGAGGTAGATTGGGTAGAGGTTCCATTTCCTGAGCTGGAGAAGACAGAGGAGACAAGCACATCAGGCCAAGGGTGACAGTTCCTGTCAGTTCCCACTTGCTCTCTAAAGTCTGAGCAAAGCTCCTGGGAGAGGGGAGGGGCAGGGGCTGGAAGGAGACGTGTCCCTCCTTCTGTGTTTTGTTTTCTGTGTATTTCCCCAGCAGAGTCTCCTGTGTCCTCCTCTTTACACCAAGGTCCCTGCAGGGCATGCTGAGAAGCACCACGTGGGGTCCCTGTTCTCGGAAGCACATAGCAGGGAGTGACAAGGTCCTATTAATACCCCCACCAAGTTGCCCAGCAGAGATGACAGACATGTGCCCAGATGCCACAGTGACAGTCCGGGGTGCTGGCCTTGATGTGACAGGGGCAGTCCTGGTAGTTCATACTTGGCCCTGGGAAGTTGAATCCCCTGGTTTTAATCTCAGGGAAACAGTGATTCTGGTTGATTGTCAGTGAGCTCACAGGGATAACACAGTTACTGAATATGAAGAGGGGAAACATGAATGGGAGGTTGTCTGATGGACAGATCTCAGTGGCACCTCTGTCTTTTGGGTGGGAGAGCCCAGGAGATGAGTCAGAAAGGGTGTGGCTCGCTTGGGCAACTGTGAGTTCTGAGGATTTAGAGCAGAGGTCCCCAACTCCCAGGCAGCACAGCAGGAAGTGAGCAGCAGGGGAGAGAATGAGAAGAGAAGCTTCATCTGTATTGACAGATGCTCCCCATCGCTCACATTACTGCCTGAGCTCTGTCTTCTGTCAGATCAGCAGCAGCATTAGATTCTCACAGGAGTGTGAACCCTATTGTGAACTGCATATGTGAGGGATCTAGATTGCATGCTCCTTGTGAGAATCTAATGCCTGATGATCTGAGGTAGAGCTGAGGTGGTGGTGCTAGTGTGGGGAGCAGCTGCAAATACAGATTAACATTAGCAGTGAGATTTGACTGCACAGAGACCATAATAAATCAGTTGCTTGCAGACTCATATCAAAACCCTATCAGTGAGTGGCAAGTGAGTCGATGTTCTTCAATTGTACAACTGCATTTGATGGCAGACTTTTAATTTTTGAGTTGGAGTCTCACTCTGTCACCCAGACTGGAGTGCAGTGGCCACTCCCGGCCACTGCAGCCTTGACCTGCTGGGCTCCGG